GGTAGGAATGGAGGAGAGGAGGCGGGCCCTGTCGTTGTCATTGGCCACGGGGATGTCAGTCACGACGGCAGGCCAGCTGAAGCCAGGAAGCCCCTCCTACTCGGGGAGAGAGGCGGATGCTGCTGCCGCTCCCGCTGCTGCTGCCGCTCTTAGCAACAGAGAGCCCCGGCGCTCGGAGCCTGCACCTCCTCAGCCCCCTATGGACCTGCCCATCGAAGGACACACACTGAGGCACTACACCCGCTCCAGGCCCAGACCCAACCGCCGGAACAGGCAGCCTCCCAGCAAGCTGCAGGTAAGACAGCAGTACGGCCGCCCGGGAGGGTCGGGAACCGAGAAGAAAGGAACAGGGGAAGGGTTTCGAGAGGCTGAGACGGGTGGTGGAGAGAGAGGGGGAGGGATGCTGCTCAGGTTGGTTCGTCTGCAGCAACCCAGGCTCCTCCGGGATCTGTCTCCCACGTCTCCCACGTCTCCTCCTCTCTATCTTCAAATTTTTTCTTTTCTCTATCTCGTAATATGTGGCGTGAGAGGGTGGGTTGAGATTTTTTGGGTGTGTATCCTCCACTGCCATTTTCTGGCACCGTGTGTGTGTGTGTCGTCGTGCTTGTAAGGCTCAGCTGGGCGGTGTGTGTACACTGTCAGAAAGGGGCACAGTATCTGTCCACTGCTTATGGATGCTTGTGCTTGGTGTGACTGCTGTTGCATCTCAATTAATAACGTTCCCAGATCAAGGAGGGCTTCTCCCTCTCTTTTTACCCTCGCTTCTGTCACCGGGAATGGAGGATCCCTCTATTCGTGGCATTCCCGAGGTGTGGGATCGAAATCTGTTTATTCGCCCCTCCGTGAGGTTGTACTTGGGCGAAACTGATCGTGTGTATAAATGAAATGCTGTGACAGTCGCTGTATTTCTCTCGCCGATGCTGCAACGACTGTGTGTGGTTGCACTGGCACACTGCGAATCTGTGGAGCCCGTCCTGTCTTTTCTAAGATATTATATCCTCACTGCGGTGTCTCCGTTACGTGAGTGTGAGATGGAGTGAAAAGAATGGCAGAGGATGTCTTTTTCCTCATATCGGTGTGTATCTGTAACACTTGTGCATCCTGTGAATGGCCATTTGGTAAATGGTTGCCATAGTGATGGGCTTTACGGTGTTCTCAATTTTAGCTGCTCACACACACATGCCTTTACACTACTGTGTGTCTAATGTGCTCTTATGGCATGTTTATTGATGCTTCCATTGTGAGCTGTGATGTGTCTTTGATGCTGTGTGTGATAAAGGTGCTATTGTGGCCTCACATTGTGATTGTGGCAATTCTGTGTGGTTGTCAGGTATTATATAATCACAGGTGTGTTGAAAACTATCCTGTCGAGTTGTTCAAACCACATTTTTGTATTTTTTTTGTCACAGAACAGGCGTTTTATCTCTATTTGCCATTAACTGAAGTACTATGATGGTACCATGTTGTAATGATGGTATCAGACAGTAATACCACAGAATACCATGTTGCTATTATGGTTTTGTGTATATATCATGATACACTACTGCTCAAAAAGTAGATAAGGTTTTTTTTGGTAACACTTTAGATTAGGGAACACATATTCACTATCACTTAGTTGCTTATTAGCTTGCTTATTACTAGCATATTGGTTGCCTTATTCTGTGTGACCATATTCTAGACCCTACCCTAAATGTAACTACTACAACAACTGCCTTATTTACTTTCAATAAGCAGTAATTAAGAATTTATTGGGGGAAAATTCTTAGTTAATAATAAATAC